TTGACAGTCCCAGGAACCAATTTGTGCTGCACTGTCCCTCAGACAAAAGGGATACATGGAAGGCTTGGAGGAAGAAAGCGACCTTAGGGAAGTGAACCCTGGGACACTGGGAGAGAGCAAGCACCGGCCCCAATAATTCTACGCTGAGGCGAGAAGGGCCAGTGCCACCATGGGGGGTCGGCGGGGGCTCAGGGACAGTCGGGGCAGACTGTTTGTGACACGGGTGTTTCTAGTGGAGGACTTCCGGCACCTGCCCGCTGTGCTGAACACCACAGCCACTACAGGGCTTTGCAGCTCCTGTCTCTGGATTATAGGGATTACCCTTATCCTGTGCTTATCTGTAAGTACTTTCCCTTCAGCTTAGGTTGTGATGGGTCCGAGTTAATGATTAAAATGGCAGGAGTCCTTCTCCAAGGCTCTTCGTTCTAAAAGGGGCATCCTCTGCTGGAAATGCTCCAGAAGCAGGTCTGCTTAAAATGCAGGACGAGAAAAGAGTTGGATCCCCAGGCATATTTTTGTTTAACAGTTCTCTAGTTCCTCCCTGAAAGGGTAATGCTTCGTGTCCAAGTTCACAATACCGAAGCAATCCCTGGCCAAGGAATAGGTTTGTTTTTGAATTGCAAAAGTAATGACTTTTTCTTTTTGCGTGTAATACTGCAATATATTTTTCTTCTTAAAACAATTCTATTGTTTTTTTCTTCTTCTTCTGGGCGGGATGATTGCAGGTGATTTTGTTGGCTTATTTTAAATGCGGTTGCATTTCCTAACTGCCAGGGATGAGCTGCTACACCTTCCATTCTTTCTCGAATCCCGTGTAAAATCAGCAGTTATGTAGCAAGGAGTTGCTAGTACAAACGTTACCCATCTGGTGCTCCAGGACCAGAAAGGAGATGCCTGCCTGCCCCCCACCCCCGCCACCCCCCCACCCACCACCCACAGAGATAACGTAGTTCTCCTGAGCAAAATCAATCAATCAATCAATCATTTTCCAATACTTCCAAAAGCAAAACAAGGACGTTTGGCTGAGATCATTCTAAAGAAAAAAAATGCTTCCTCATTACCAACCCACCTCCATGTAGTTATTTCCTCTAACTCAGCTGCCTGTGACCGGGGCGTAGGCTCACGAGGAGGCGAACTCAGGGGGGTCATCGGTATCTATCCACACACCCCATTTATTCCGAATGAAAACCAGGATGACTTTTGTAAACAGTCCTGGCCCGAAGGGACACCAAAACCGTATGTTCACTCAGCTGTTTGAGAAATAAAAATGCCTGAGCAATTTGAGCCTTAAGGATTCGGAAGCCAGAACGCTATTCAGATACCCCGCGGGTGTGTAAACGCTGCCCGCCTATGGCCACGTGAGGGGACTGTGCCCCGAAGGGCTGGCAATGCTTTGACGGTGGCTTCTGGTTGGAATCTCTCCACACCCCGAGCCTGGTCACCAGCCAAGCCTCTGCTGAATGCTGGGCAGATTCCCTGATGGATGAGGATAGCCAGGGTCAGTGTCTGCTGCTTGCAACCGGAAGGTTCTTAAATTGCTACGCAATCCGAAAGTTCCATCTCCCCCAGGCCTGGGGGTGGGGGCGGGGGGCACAGCAAAGGGAACAGTGAGGCCATCGTGACCCTCGCTGTGTCCCTCCCCTTTGCTCTCTGCTGCGCTGCATCCAGGTTCTTTAGGTCTGAAAACCTCCTTCCTCTGCTGCTTCAGTGCATGTGAGTGCGGGGCTGGGGAGAAGATGGTCTCCCCCAGCTTCTGACTAGGAGGCAGGGTCGCACTGCTGAGCGGGCTCTTCCCCAAGTCCCAAACCCACGCTTTGGAGTAAGAATCACTGGGTCACCTTCGGCCCCCCGACGAATCTGCGGCCAGAGTCCATGGTCACGTGGTGCCACCGTGACTGCCGAAGGCCCAGGTGTGTGGGGTAAGGAATCAAAGCCAATCCCAGACCTTGTGCCGAGGGACCTCCTCCAAGGGCGGGGCCAACACCCCCAGAGAAGTCTGCTTCATTCAAAATGCCACTGTCACCGTTAGAATGACTTCCCCCCCACCCCAGGGCCTTCCTGCTCTGCGAAATGGAACCCCAGATAACTGCTCTGCCCTCTCACAGCTGCCTCAGGTTCCTCCCACTCCCCTCTTGGTCTTTTAACACCGTAATCAACGCGTACTGACTCCCCTTCTGCTGTTCAAGAGCTTCCGGAAGGGACAGGGTCCCCTTGAAGCATCTCTGCTGCCTTTGATGTCGGTGTTTTATTTTTTTTTTGAGCTTTTATTTATTTATTTTTAGAGAGGGGAGGGAGGGAGAAAGAGAGAGAGAGAGAGAAACATCCATGTGCGGTTGCTGGGGGCCGTGGCCTGCAACCCAGGCATGTGCCCTGACTGGGATTCGAACCTGCGACGCTTTGGTTCGCAGCCCGCGCTCAGTCCACTGAGCTACGCCAGCCAGGGCTTGATGTTGGTGTTTGAATACTCACTCACCTCTTTGTCTTTCAGCACAGGTTTCCCCTTGAGCCGTGGTTCCGGCCAGCTCTGCGTGGGCACCGGTGACGGCTGCCTGGTGTGTGCACGCACCTCTCCGTGTTTCCCGAGATGGGTCCTCAGCAGAGACCAGAACGCTCATCAGGACACAAAACAGCAGGGGGCAGTCACCTCGGAAGCTGGACTTGGTCCTCTGTGCCTTCATTTCATGTGTCCCCGTTCCTTTGACCTGATCTGGGGCTGGGGGGGTGGGGGGGGGGGGGAGAATTGGTCTATTTACATCTCCTGGGCCATGGACATGAAAGGGGCAGAGGAACATAAGAGAATATTATTGTTGGGGCTAAAAGGGAGATTTACTTGACACGAACACAAGCAGTTCTCAAAGATCTGAATTTCACATCCCAGTAAATATGCACTAATATAGTATCATCGGAGAGTGGCCAACTTGTTTTGCTAAGGAAAGATATGCAACCAGAGACTAAGTCAAAAATCAACAACATTAAAGACTTTACCAAAAGAAAAGAAAAGAAAAGAAAGAAAAGGAAAGGAAAGGAAAGGAAGGAAAGAAAGAGAAGAGAAGAGAAGAGAAGAGAAGAGAAGAGAAGAGAAAAGAAGAAAAGAGCAGCATAGGAATAAAAACTAATCCTTCCCAACTAGGTAGCGCTGATGAACTTGAGCCAGCCTCTTAGAACCCGGGCCATTGAGGCGGCGCCAGACATCCAGCGACCCTCTCCGGCAAACCTGCACTTGGGATCCACTCCAGGACACAGTCTGTCTTCCCAGAGTGTGACGTTTACACGGGGGCCAAAGATAACCCCACTTCATTAGAATTCTTCTTCTCTGCAACCTGCAGATGTGAGGGCCTCCTCCCCCATCTGAGTGTGGGGTCCTCCTGGCCCGGAAGTCCTGGCCAGGAGCAAAGCTCAGCCCTCTGCAAAGGACTCACACAACCCCCCCCCGCCCTACCCCGTGAGCTTGGTGATGTTCTCCTTTCCACCCATGGGGGAGCCAAGACCAAGAGAGGTAACACCCCTGACCCCCAGCCGTAGGAGCCGACAGATTCTGGAGCTGCAATTTGGACCCAAGAACGTCAGAGGCCCAAGTCCACTCTCCAAACCATTACTTTTCTCCATTCAAATTCAAACAAGGATGTTGGCAACCAAGAGACACACACATGTGCACGTTAGAGAAAAGTTCCTTTATGAAATGACTCGTCGTATTTTCGACTCCAGACCTGAGACTTCAGCCAAGGTTAGCGGCCCTGTTTCCTGAGTCACGGCCGCCGTCGTGTTGAAGAACAAAGTGTCTGAGTCACTTGGACTTCACGTTCAAAAACACATAGGGGACGTCCTTTGTGACTGAATGGTTTTGAAATCAGGTCACAAGCTGGGGCATGAGGATAACGTATTTCCTTCTGTTGGCGAGATGAACCCATTGTGTTTGTGTAAGTAAAAGTGAACGCACTGACTGCCTGGGAAGATCGTTCCGATGATGAAAACATTCTGGACTCGTTGGTCACAAGTCTTCGGAACAGGGCAGGGCTGTTTATCTCAAGGATAAGAACGCTGTCCCTCCCTCTGCGTGTCTTCAGGTGCTTTGCGATGCACTTAATGCCCCTATTCACAGGCAGCCTTGGCCTTGTGCAGTGCAGGGAGAGTTCTCCACTGAGTTCAATAGCAGAGGCTTTTCTGCCCCTGAAAATACCCCTGACCTTCTATACATGCCTCAAGTTCCCTCACCAAAGACTAAAATCCTCTTCTAGAGTTTCCTTCTTTTAGAATTGTTCCCTTGGCCCGTTTCATGGGTAGTGACACACTTCTGGATACCCATTCCCATTCATTCCTCCTGGGGCTTGCTCTCGGGGACTCTGGAGGTACTTTCCAGCAGCGCGCTGGGTGCCAGCCCCTAGCACAGGGCGTGCGTGGAGGCTCCTATTTCAGCTCTGGCCAACCACATCAGAGCTCAACAATGCTTCCTGCAAGTCAGCAGTCTTCATGTGATATGTCAGGGCAGGCTCTTGACTTACGGGAGCAAGACACTGTGTTCTTCGGGTCCAATCTAATTAGCAATAGTAATTCTGTCACGGAATTTCCCCAGTTTCACCCCAATGAATTGGCCAAGTTGTATCGTGCAAGAAAGCACAGAATGGGTATCCATGTGATTGTGTCATTTTGAACATTAATCATGAAACATATAGGGTACCAAAGGGATTTTTCCAAATGAAAAGGATTTTTTTATTAGCCAGGTTAACAATTCTATGTCTTCCATAATTGTTATTAATAATAATAAGAGCTAATGCTTACTGAGTATTTACCATGGAGCAAATGCTGTTCAAAATATTCACTCATTTAATGCATTTTTTCCCTTTTGCATATGAAGTTACTCTGTTACTTTAAAGAAAGCACATCTTCCCCTTATAAATCTCCACTTTCCCAGACATAGTGAAGAAGGAAAAAGTGAAATAAAATGTTCCTTTATATATGAAGTTTGCAATTAAACACGTCTTTTCCCAGGAACTGTGTTTTGCTAGAACCATAGAATCGATCAAACTGAACTGGTACATCTAGGATAAGTAAGGCATTTAATTTCCATCATTTTGCAATATATTACTTGACAAACACTTATTCAGCACCTCAGCTGATCCAGGTATAGTTATAGATACAAGAATAAGAGCAGAGAACAAGGGAGATGGTCTTCCCACCCTCGGGGTGGCTGCCATCCTGACGTAAGCTGGAATCCAAGTTCCAAGATTTTCATAACTAAGACATTATAATAATATACAGGAGTGGCCATTATTATTCCTGGGTGAGCTGACTTGGTCAGAGAGGAAATAGGTAGCAGAGTAGACTCTCACTCAGATCTGATGTAAAAATCTGTATGAAAACGGGTTTCTTCCTACAAAATGAAAACCACTGACCTCAGAGTATCACCACGTGGGGAGAGACAGTGAAACGCCCAGCACGCTGTAGCTCCTCAGTGAACTGAAACCCACAGTGACGGTAACATGACTCATGAACCTGAGTGTGCATGCTGTAGTTGCCGTCTCCTTCGAGGCGGAGCACCTCTCAACAATGAACTTTTGAAAAAGCTCCTCGCATGCCACTGCATTTTGGAGGATGTAAATAAAATACATTTTTTCCAGAATACAACTTTAACTTTTTAATACTGACATGACTGAATTCCACTGAGAAATCTTCAAGCAAGCACGGAAGCCAAACAGCTGTTTGCAAAGATGATGGTTAAGTGTGTCTCAACTGATATTTTAAGTATTTATCTTCACCTTTCTGACACAGGTATAGTAACTCCCAATCTTATAAACAGGGAAACTAGGCTCAGAGAGGTTAACTAACTTGCCCACAGCCACACAGCTTGTGAGTGGTGAAACCATGGCTTCAGCTCAAGTTATTGAAACCAAAACTGTTATTTTTGTGGTGTAGAGTTGCTTCCAATATGACACACGAGTAAAACACTCCAGGATCTATGACAACTCCTTCCTCAAAAAAAAACAGAGAATGCATTGAGACCGATCTTCCTCTCTTGACTTGGGAATGAGGAAATAATCAATAAGCCATTGGCTATTATTTGCTTTATTGGGTGCTGGCCAAGGTAAACAGCGCTGTGTCACATGGTCTGAGAAAGACAAAAGTAAGAGACCATGTCCGGAATTTCAAAGAGGTTTCTCTCTAATTAGTCAGAGAACCCAGCACTCGGGCCATAGAAAGGATGACCTTAATTCTGGGACGGCCCGATTCCTGTAGTTCTTAATAACATGAATGGTAACATTTTAGAGCCTTTGCTACATGCCAGGGACTTTCACTGCTTCATCATCTCAGCAGAACCCTGCTGGGTGGGGACTGCCACCATCGCCCCTGGGAAGAGAGGAGGCTGGGTCTGTGGGTGGCCGAGCTGCAGGGACCTGGCTGGCACTCCGCTGCTAATCTTCCTTTGGCTTCATCCAGCCATGGTTTCCTGAGTCCGACCTGCAGCGTTGAGTTGAACACCCAGCGTAATCGTGGAGACGTCTGAGTTGCCAGTCTCGGACACAGCCTGCCAAAACCAAGGCATGCGATGGAGGGACGCCGTGAAGCCACATGTGTGGAACACGTCCCCGGATGTGTGTGACTCCCGCGGCAGCCCCATGAAATGGGCTACTGTTATCACTCCGACCTCCGTGCATTACCGGGAGGCCGGCCCCAACCCTGCCCACTGGACACACGTGGAACGCGAGTCTCTAAGTTTCCACCGTCGGAAAGCAGCAGGTCTAGGACTCCCACCCGAGTCTAGCCAAAGCTTCGGCACACAAAACCACATCACTAGTCGAGATATGTGAAACGGTTTTGTGTTGTGCAGCCATTGCCCTTCTAAGGACTCCTCCTCCCCACCCTCACCACGCATGTCCACGAACACACCCTTTGTCGTCCGTGGTCAGTTGGTGTGACTGCTGGGGTATAATTATCCTTTCAGTCCTCGGCAAGGTTTCCCGGAACCGAACAGAAGGCCCGAGCCTGTCTGTGGGCACTTCGGAGACACTTGGGGATCCCTCATTAGCCTTTCCGGGCAGCAGCCCTGTGGGGCTGACTCACGGAGACGGAGATGGAGTAATGAGCGAGGGAGCCGGCCGGGCGGGCGAGGAAGAGTGAGCCCTGCGCCTGCGCTCTGAGTCCCCGTTTTGAGCTTAGCTGCACCTCTTCAAGGACGTGTGTGCGATGGTGTCAGTGGAGTTTCAAAGAACCAGTCTGCTTTCCTCTGCCGTCCAGTGTAAAAAAGTAGGCGGTACTTTCTCTCCTGGACCTGAGAAACCAGTTTCCCTGCAGTAGGAACTTTCTTGCTGGCTCTTAAGGGACAAATGTTTGCCTGCCCTTCCCCGTGTCTGCTTGGTGTTTGTAAAGCAACCAAGCACTCAGCCCATGTGAAAACCCAGCAAGTCTGGAAAGATTTTCCTTTCTTCCCGAGCACGCCTGCACAGAGAGGAAGAAAAGAAAGAACAATGAGTGGAGGGAGGGCGGTAACTCATATCTGGCATAAGAATGGGAGCTATGATTTATTGAGCATTTGCTATGTGCCGGAAGCAAGCCCCTGGTGGTTAGCCAAATGGATCTTCTGTTTGGGACTATTCTTCTTATTTTATTTTTTTTTAATTTTGTATAAAGGATGTGAAAGTTTTTTTAAGATTTTATTTGTTTATTTTTAGAGAGGGAAGGGAGGGAGAAAGAGAGAAAGAAACATCAGTGTGCAGTTGCTGGGGGTCATGGCCTGCAACCTAGGCATGTACCCTGACTGGGAATCGAACCTGCGACACTTTGGTTCGAAGCCCATGCTCAATCCACTGAGCTACGCCAGCCAGGGCTATTTTATTTTATTTTTAACCACCATTAGCACATAAGACAATATTTTCATCACAGAGGCCCACACATACCCCCCCCCCTTGGAGATATTCCCACTTAAGGAATATTTCCAGTGTTCTGAGATACTTGTGGTTTAAGAAAAGGGGACATAATCTAGCACGATGTATATGGATGAGAATGTTAAGGTTAGAATTAGAAAATCTAGGCCTGACTCTCTCACGAGCCAGTAGTAAGGCCTGCGACATTGGGCAAATTCTTTGACTCTCTTAAGCCTCACTTTGATTTACTCATTTATGTTTTTTGTCGTTGGGCTGAACTAAATGGGAAAATTTCGGTAAAATGTCTAGTTCACTCAGTGGTTTGTCATAAGCCCTAGAAAGCTCTGGTTTGTATACTGTGTAACATGGTGTACAAGACACGCTGTATAGCACATATACAGGGTGGACAAAAGTAGGTTTGCAGTGGTCCGTATGGAAGATAATAGAACAATTAACAAATGCTACAAGAATAAACTCTGTTTCATGTACTTACAACAGTAAATCTACTTTTGCCTACCCTGTGGCATATCATCTTTAGTGCATGCTACATCATACGTACTAAATAGTGTGTATATGTAACAGGTACCTACGTAAGTAGATAGAGTACATTTTATGTAAGCCGAATCCACACATAACCCCTAGAGCTATTCTTTTTATGAACGGTCATTAACCTCTCAGGACAAATCTGAAAAGGCAGTGTGCAAGCTCAAGTTGGGCTGCAAAAGATTTTCAAGTTAACAAACTGAAAGCTGACCGTGAACTTGCCAGGTTAAGCTCCGCCAACGCTAGGGGGCAAAAGACGGAGCCGAGAGCTTGCACCGCAGCGAGAGCGAACAGCTAACAGCGCGGAGCGACCCGGCTCCTCCCTGGCCGGCGTAGCGCCCGCGTTGGGCTAGAAGGAAAGCCTAGGAGCCACTTCCACTTTATCACCAAGTATCTCCAGCTCTCTTCCTGAGTCAGTCAATGAAGTTCTGCTCTTGCCAACCACGGTGACTCGAGAAAAAGCGGGTGCGCTCGCGCGCGCGCGCCCGCGCCTGCCCAGGATGGACTTTGCAGGGGCGGGTGGGGATGGTGGGAGGTTGCGGGTGCTTACCCTTTGTACAAGGTACACCAAAAAAAAAAGGAGGAGGCTGGAGGAAAGGGGGTAGGCCAGGCTTTCACAGCGCGTTTCCCACCTGGCTAAAGAGGTAGCGGCTAGGTGGAGAGCTGGCTACGGACTGCGTTGTTGGCGCTTTACTTGTCTTGCTTCATGAAATCTTCCTCACAACCAAAGTGGAACAGCCAGGGAGGGAACTCCTGCAAACTCAGCTGGCTCTCCGCGCCCAAGGCGCGAAGGTGAAATCCCGTCTTTAGAAGATGCTGAGCCTCAGCCCCTCCCAGCCTCCGGTGGCGCGCAAAGCCGACCTCCCTCCGGGAAGAGTTCCGTCCAGGCTGGCGGAAACCTGCTCCCGGGAGGCGCGCGGGCTCTCCGGCCCCGGCAGGCGCCGGCAGACTTCCCCGGTCCGCACTCGGAGACCTTGCCCGCCCAGCAGCGCGATTGTGCAAGCGCGGCTCTGCACGCCACGGGAGGGCCGGGAGGCGTGTTCGGCGCACACTCGGTGAACTCGAGGCGCAGCGCCCCTCCCCGGGGGTTATCTCCGGGGTGGAGTCCGCCCGCGCTCCCTCCCGGAGAGCAGCGCACCGGTCACCCGAGGTGCGGGCGCCCTCGCTCACCTCGCTGACTCCATCCTATTTCCATCCCCTCGCCCCCGCCCCACCCCGGGTCCCGCGTCCTTCCCGGACGGGCAAGCCAGGACCCACTCCGCCCCACTCAAAGAGTGCTCATTGGCCACCCAGGGACTGCCCTGTCTCCATAAATACTTGGTCCCCGGGCATGGATCATGGAGAGGGCCAGGAGGACATCGCGGCGCGCGCGGCATCTCTTCCACCCTCCTTGACATCTCCACTTCGAGGGTCCGCGCCTGCAGTCAGACTCGCGGGTCCACATCCCTCCCCTTCGTCTTCCAAGAGGCCCCCGCCCGCCCTTCTCCAGCCCCTGTGGCCGGCGGTCGGCGGGCACCCGCGCCCTGAGGCCGCCTCCCAGTGCATCGTAGAGCATCCTCGCGGAGGTCATTTCTGTCCCTCTGTCGCCTTCTTCATCACACCTGCCGGTCCTCTTTGCGTCTCTTTCCCAGAATCGTCACGCCACACATAGCCGGCGCCCCTTCAGCAACCTTGCTAAAGGTCCTTCACGGTCCGCGCGCGTTCTTCCGCGCGGGATCCCCCAGGCAGCTATGAGCTCTCCCATCAGCAAGATCCGCTCCCTGGTTGCCTTCTTACAGCAGCTGCGCAGCACCGGGCAGCTCCCCAGACCCGTGACACCGACGGTGTGCGCGCCCCCTCGGCCGCCGGAGGTGCCCGTCTGCCCGCTGACGGAACGTGGCGAGGTGCGGAACGCCGCAGCGCTGCCGGGCCCCACCAGCTGGCCACTGCTGGGCAGCCTGCTGGAGATCCTCTGGAAAGGGGGGCTGAAGAAACAGCACGACACGCTGGTAAATGCCTCATGGCGCCCCAATTCCGTCTCCCTTCCGTGCCCTGCGCTCCAAATTCTCCCTCAGGCGCGCATCCCGGGCGTACGGTGCGCTCGGGTTACCTCCGCTGCGGCGGTCCCCGGGTGGAAGGAGGCAGGAGGAGGGACAAGCGCTCTGGGGGGCTGCAAGGGATGCGCGCTGACTTTGCGCTGTGCCCCTCCCCGCTGCAGGCGGAGTACCACAAAAAGTATGGCGAGATTTTCCGCATGAAGTTGGGTTCCTTCGACTCGGTGCACCTGGGCTCGCCGGGCCTGCTGGAAGCGCTGTACCGCACGGAGAGCGCGTACCCCAAGCGGCTGGAGATCAAACCCTGGAAGGCCTATCGCGACTATCGCCAGGAGGGCTACGGCCTGCTCATCCTGTGAGTCCGGGCGGCAGGACGGGGTCGGGCTGCTGCACTTCGGGCGCTTGGAAACTGGGAAGAGATTCCCCGGGGCGGACCCCTCCTAGGCCGGGGACACGAAAGCCCCTATCTGATGCAATCGCGTGCTCTCGCAGACACCTGAGTGGGTTGAGGGACAGCTGTACTGTGAACCCACTTAACACCTGCCTTCTCTCTGGCATCTGGTGGGGTCCTACCTTTCCATCAAAGACACCAAAAAGCGTTACACTGATTGTGGTGGGGTGGGGTTCTGAAGTTAGCGCCCCAGGCAAACGTGTTACATAGAAACAAAAGTATCCCTTACACTTCTCTGTAACCCCTCTCAGAAGCTCAACGCCAGAAATCAACGTCCTTTGCTTTTGACAGGGACCTTTCTTTCTGGAAGGGAGTGGAAGGTTACGGACCTAGGTGAACTTGAAAGCTAGGATGAGGAGGGGTGTCCATAGTGAAATGCTGTACTGTGATGTGCTTCCTGTGCTTTTTAACTAGCACTCCGCCCCATTTTAATGCCTAATAGTTATGCATTTAGGATACAATTACTGGAATTAAAAAATACAGTAACATGGGGTGTATCGCACCCTTTGTGTTCGGCTGTCGGGCAAGTGCAAGAGGGCACCTGACGGGAATGGGCTTTTCCCAACCCCTGTGAATCTCTGCCCATGTGTTACTATTTGGAGGCAATGGCAACCTTCTAAGTGTGAGGTGTTTTGTGAACATGACTTTCAGTGGGCTGAAAGAAGACAAGATATGTCCTCTAGCATATCTGGGCTTCTGGGGGAGGGGGGAGTCTTCGGGTGCCTGCTCTCACCGCTGGGAATGGAGGCATCCGGTCTCCCCGCTCGAACCCAGCAAGGTCACCTCAACAGCCCTGAACCCCCATTATCTGGCCGTCGCCTTCCTTTGGCTGGGCAGGAAGGTGCTTTCTCGGTCTGTCTTCAAACCAGGCCCCCAGCATTCCAGTGCTTATCATTTCTGGCTATGTCTTGGCCCTGTTCTCTGTGTCCGTTCATGATACGGTTCACGCAAGCTGGAGGGCTGGATGGGGATCTCTGCACGTTTTCAGCTGGCTCTGAATAGATGTCTGCTTCCCTTCCCAGGGAAGGAAAAGACTGGCAGAGGGTCCGGAGTGCCTTTCAAAAGAAACTCATGAAACCGGTGGAAATTATGAAGATGGACGGCAAAATCAACGAGGTGGGCGGGCTGGGTCCGGGGCTCTCCTGGTCCTCTTGAGGAGGGCGGGAGGTCGGGGGAATGCCAGGCCACAGCTCCAGAGAGCAGAGGGTACAGTGGGCACTTTGGGTGATTCCGGGTCTTCACTTTCTCCTCATTCCCCTCCACACCATCGCCCCTCCCCCAAAGCCCTTATCCCGCCCTCCCTCACTGTCTCTTCAAGATATCACATTGAGGGAGCAGTCACAAGCGCAGACCTTGGTATTCCACAGTCTTGGATTTGAACATCAGCCTTCCGTCCTGGGGAACCTGACTATACCGTTTAATTTCCCTAAGCCTCGGTTTCCCAGTCTGTAAAATGGGGTAACAATCCTCACTCCACAGGTCTGCTGTGATGGTTGGATGAGATGACACTTATGAATGAACTTCTTTGGTTGTGACATTCGAGCTGGGTTTTGTAGGATGCATAGGAGTCCACCAGCCACAGGAGGTGGCGAAAGGCATCCAGGCGGAGGCAGTAGCCTGCTGGAAACACGGAGATGCTATGTCACGGCGTGTTTAGAGAAAGCACGTTCAGAATGGGGCTTTTCTGAAATGACGCTGGGCAGGAGGCAGGTCTTGACAATGTCTTTGTGTAGTGCTAAGGTATTTAGACACATCCTCCGGCTAGCAGGCCAGAGAGCAGGGGATTTAAGCATGTAGTAATCTCTTTTGACTCCTGTTCACTCTGGGTGTTTATTTTGAATTGAGCTGGGACCCACATAAGATGGTATAGGTAACAGATTACAAACTCAGAAGCTTGCAGGGCCCAGGCAATTAATAGAAACATAGATGGCAGGCCCGATAGGGGCTTCAAGCAATGAGAGCACATGCCCTTTCTAGGTGACAGCTGCCCCAATTCCAGCAAATGACTGCCCCGCGAGAATGCAGATGTAGTGTCCACAGATCTTGTAATTATTTATTATTATTATTAAGTAGAGGGAAATCTATATGTTCATGTGAACTCTCTGAATTTTTGATGGTAACCAGTTCACAATATTCCTGAATGCACCACATGCGCAGACTAAGCCTCCCTGCTCACGTGGCTGGGCTCTGTGGTCCCACGGGCTTGGTTCCAGGCCCAGTGTGGCCACTTCTCAGCTCTGCGTCAAGGGCCGGGGCCTGAGCCTCTCTCTGCGCCTCAGCTTCCTCATCTGTTACCTAGGAAACGGGAGAAATGACAGCACTTTCTCCCTCACAAAGCTGTCATGAAGATCAGCTAAGAAAATACACTTGGCCCAGTGCTTGGTAGTAGAGAACCCTCATTCAAGGAGAGGCATGTGTCATCTGAAACCCTGATTTTGGGGACAACGTGTCCAAGGTCACGGAGCTATTCAGTGGGGGAACCGCGTCCAGCATTTGCCGATTTCCTGGCTCCAAGTTCAACAGGCTTAACACAATACCAGCCGGTAAAGAGATGTTTGCTTGCCCAGCTGTGGAAGCGGCAAACCTCAGGGTGGTTACAGCACCAACGCCCCTGAGATGCCGTGCCCGCGAGGACACTCGACTGAGTTCTCCTCTGTGGTCTGTTCCCCCTTCCGATGAGAAGAGCTGTTTTCCTTCCTTTAAATTTAGATCACAGGCTGAAACTGAAGCCTCGGGGTGGCTGCCGGAAAAGCTGAGGAAATCACGCAGGACAAGGTAGTTAGGGTGTCAGGTGAGCTCCAAGGAACATACATAATTAGCGCTGCTTCCGAAGGAATAACCTTATGGCCGGTGAATAGATCCCAGGTAGCAAAACCTGAAGTCAGCTCACTGAGCTCTAAGTTCTTGTCGTTCCTCAAAGGCTAAACAGTGTCTCCGTGGCTTCTCTCTTTGAAGGTCTTGGCCGATTTCACGGGTAGAATGGATGAGCTGTGCGACGCGCGAGGCCACATCGAAGACCTTTACGGCGAACTGAACAAGTGGTCGTTTGAAAGTGAGTTGTCTTTCCAGTCTGCTTCATTTGATGTTGCAGGTGCTGTTGAGGCTCTGCATGGCTCTGCGGACAACTTGAGAACTCCCCTGTAATCATACACTGTTCTGACCAGGAAAGGCCTTTGCAGCTGTTCCAGCGCTCTCAGGCACTGAAGTTATGCTTTGCACTCCCAGTAGTTTGCGTAGTCATTCAACAAACACACAGTGACCACCTGCTATGTGTTGGGCACCATGCTCGGGACAGAGCAGTGAGCAAAACAGGCAACAACCCTGCTCCCATGGAGCTGGGGTTCCAGTAGGGGTGACTATTGACAAGTAAACACACTGATTTTAGAGAGAGAGGAAGCAGGGAGAGAGACAGTGAAACATTGACGTGAGAGAGAAACATCAGTTGGTTGTCTCGCATACTCACCCTGACCAGGGATTGACCTGCAACCCAGGTATGTGCCCTGACCGGGGATCAAACCTGCAACTTTTTGGTGTATGGGGCAATGCTCCACCCAACTGAGCCACCCAGCCAGGACCACATTTTAATATATACTCTGCCAAGGGGTCAGGAGCTCAAGAAAGAACATAGGTGCCCAGAGGAGGCAACTCTGCTTTGGTACAGAGACACCTGAGGTGAGACCTAAGAAAGGTGAGGTGCGAGCCACAAGGGGCCTGTGGGCAGGTTGTTCCAGAGAGCGGAGGCCGGAAGAGCGAATGCCCTGGGGTAGAAGGTGGGCGCACCTTTGAGAAACTCCAGGGATGCCTGGGGGGGGGGGGGAGGCGAGCTGGGGAAGATCAGGCCTACAGGTTCCACAGGAACTTTTAGTTTGAGTTACATGGAGAGCCACGGAGACTTGGACACAGAAGCAGGGGTGATCAGAGTTTCTCCAAGGGTCGCCCCGGGAGTAAGAAGCACATCACTGCTCGCTGGGGCTGCAGGCGGGGGAGCAAGGCCACTTTAACAGACAAAGCTGGTCCAAGGCTGTGGGCACATCCCAGACGGGCGCCTCCGCCGAGCTCGGCCTGCGGGCGCTTCCCGGAGGCGGCGCCCTCCCAGCTAGGGCCGGGTGGGTGAGCAGGAGTTCGCCAGGCGCAAGTGAGCGAAGGAGGAACGGCCCAGGCGGAGGAGCAGAGATGATGGCGAAGGCACAGGGAGGCGTTTGGAGTGACTGGCGCGTATCCTGCGGGGGAGGGCGAGGGCAGAGGATGGGAGGAAGGCGGCAGGCGGCCCTGTAAATCCATATAAACCAGGACGGGAGCTGGACTTTGAACCTGGGAGGACCCGGGAGGGACAGGAAGTGCTTTTGGCAGGCGGGTGGCGTGGTCTGCTGGCTGCAGGGGTCACTCTGGCTGCTGATGCGAGGGGCTGGACACGGCGCCCCAAGACAGTAGCCTCTGTCCGGACGTCTCTCCTGCATCAGATCGGCCTCACGTTAAGGTTACACACCAGCCACCTTGGCCCATGAGAAAGCTCCATGCGAACAAGAGACACACGGAAGGTGTCAAGGGGCGAAGAGGGGCGAGGGGAAGGAATGATTATAAAGTAGAAGGGACGCATTTGCTTTGGAAGTTGTCCACTGCAAATACCCAAATTAAGGAGCACCAAATGCATGTCTTTGTAAGTCAAAGGAAATCCGACCAGGGCGGTTTAAAAACTATTGTCTAGCGTTACGGGAAGTCTCGAGGAGGGCCGCCTGCGGAGGGTGCTAGTGACGTCACCGGGGACCCAAGTTCTCGCTCTGTTCTCGCGCGTCCAGCCTTAGCTGGCCGGCGTGTTGCAGAAGGGGTGCTGCCCCTCCTGGCCTCACCTCTGCCGTGTGGGCAAAAACAAGAAGAAAAGAGGGTACAGGTCCCACTCTACCTAGGAAGCAAAAATAAGATGTCCTCTTGGGCTCACCAGCCAGACAGACCTGGGTCACGTGGCTGCTCTGGAGGCTCCAGGAAGGCGGGGCAAGTCAGGGAACAGGCTGGCCTCAGGAGTCTTAGATGAATCCTATTAACTACCTGAAACACTGACACCCTAAATAAAATCGGGGTTCTCTTAGGGGAGAAAGGAAGCAGAATGAGTGTTGGGTAGGTCAGTCCCCAATGTCTGCCACGCCCAATATCAATGATAAACTCTGACTAAAGCAACACCGGCAGGAGAGATTCACTCCCGTATGGACAGGGCCACATTTGCCCAGTGGCCTTTCTGTCCAGGAGGCTCCGCAGGGGACGGGTGCTTGGACCCGGAGATCATTTCTAGAAAGAGTGATCAGACTCTCAGATACTTCACGCCTCTGTTCTTCGAAAAGACCTCACGTCTAGGAGAGATGGAATCGACTCTTTAGTGGCCAGCTAACCGTCGTGTCCAGATTATGCTAACGGTGTTGATTATTTTAATTAACAGGCATCTGCCTTGTGCTCTATGACAAGAGATTCGGGCTCCTTCGGAAGGACGCGGGGGAGGAAGCTCTGGAATTCATCAAGGCCATCAAAACAGTAAGCATCCCCTGGGGGAGAGAGCAGTTGTCCTGACTGGGTGCCCGTGCTTTGCAGGTTTCCCCAAGAGAGGCGTGCACACGGATAGTTTTGTTACTATAGTCAAGCGTTCATTTTAATGTGTGCTATCTGTGTTTGCACATGGGTGCGCACAAAAATGCAGCTATAATAAAGCAGCACATTAAATCATCATTTGGGCAGAGTTAGGGTAGGAAGTTCAGTCGAAGGTCTGTCGATTAAATTATGGTTGTCACAAGCCTGACGGTTTTCAGACTTTACATTTTTTATTCATGTGTGGATCTAGTAGATGCTGTGGAACCGGCAAAGGAGTGGCTGACGTTTGGAAATTCAAGTGAATTTTGATAAAATTGATCATTTTCCTTTTTTCTTCCTTTTTAAGAAGTAGGTTATAAGAGCAATTTTTTAAAATTAAACCTGACTGAAAAATCATCCCAAAGATGATTCTGTGTATGTTCCTGGGGGTGGGGGGCGGGGTGAGTAGGGCTTCCAGGCCCAGTGTGGAGGGGCCCAAGGCACCCTGCTCAGAACCCCCCGCTCCGTCCGGTGCAGAGGAGGCGCCGTCCTGGAGAGGAACGGGCGTGAAGAGGCACTTGTGTCCCTCACAGATGATGAGCACGTTTGGGAGGATGATGGTCACCCCGGTGGAGCTGCACAGGAGCCTCAACACCAAGGTCTGGCAGGCGCACACGCGGGCCTGGGACACCATTTTCACGTCAGGTAACGGGGCCGCACACCCAGGCCCGCTGTCCCCGAGCTGCTGCCCAGAGGCCGAAGGGGTCTTCTTGGCCGGGCCACCCCCATCCTCAGAGGGAGGCGCTCCTCCTGATTCCCTTGGGCTTTGCGGGCAAGAGTCATCCCAGTGTCGGCAGATGCTAAGAAAAAGGCAGGGGGCGGCATTGCGTTCTCTCGGGGAACCAGGAGGCATTAAAAGCAAGAGCTGTGGAGTCAGAGGTACCCGGGTTCAATCCCCGCGCCTGCCATGGGTGTGGCAGGTTGGCCAAATGTGCTCTCTCCTTTTCATCCTCAGTTGTCTTACCTCTCAAATGGGCCAACAACAACAACAATAATAGCGCCTACCTCAGTGTAACAGTTTTTAGGCCTAGTATAGCCTGGCATATGACAGTATCTCAAGGCATCAGAGCTATTTTTGGCACATTGTGGAGGGAGCATTTGATGCTAGGTATTTTTCTGTGATAAAATAATATACTACCTACGTTTCAGCATACACACTTACTTTACTCCCACCAAAAAACCCATGTCAGACCCTTCTCTGAGCCCCGAGTAACAGAACTGAGGCACGAGGAAGTTAAGCAACCTTCTCAACAACATTCCAGGCTGGGGGACGGCAAAGCCAAGGTTGGAAGCCGAGCGGAAGGGCTCCTGGAGCTCAGACTCCAACGGCGGTCCCACGCATTGTCGTCATGGGTATTGCCACCATCCCCACTACTGTTATTCAGGTGGTGGCTCGCATCATGATTGAATGAAGGAAGGGAGACATAAGCCTGGAATGGACTTTATCAGAAAATTATCAGAAATATCAGATATCAGAAAATTTTACTATTATTGTGAACATTCGCAGGCACTGCACACACGTGCGTGTGTGTGTACCAAGATTTGGGAGCCACCCCTGTCTCAGTGTGCGTGCCTGCATTAGTGACCATAGCGGCTAGACACCTGGCTGTGGGTCCAAGTTCGGATTCCGAGAGTAGCCCCAAATCCCACCTCTGTCTCATCGTGACCCCCTCCAAGCCCTATGCCCTTAGTAGTGAGGATGTGACCTGCGGGTCAGCAGCACCAGCATGACCTGGGAGCTGGTTAGAAATGCAGACTTCCAGGCCCACCCCAGACCCTCGATTCAGAATCTGCATTGTCAGAAGACACCCAGGTGACCAGTGTGCATGCTGACATTGGAGGAGCCCCGCCCCGGGGGGGAGGGGGCATCCATCCATCCTTGACGACCCAACGAGGCAGCGTGGTCCCCTCTAACAATGTCCACGTCCCAGGAAAGCCCCGTCTGTGCTCTGAGGACTTCATCTCAGGTTCCCTTTCATCCTTTGCCTCCTCCTGACGTCCAGCTGACTTCCTCTCCCTTTTCTCTTCCCCGACAGTCAAATCCTGTGTCGACCAGCAGTTAGGGAAGCACTCAGAGCAGCCCGGCAGGGACTTCCTCTGTGACGTTTACCACCGCAACCGGCTGTCGAAGAAGGAGCTGTACGCCACAGTCACGGAGCTCCAGCTGGCCGCCGTGGAGACGGTGAGGGTGCTCCTGCTTCCCGACGGGGACGTGACCAGCCCGGCGTGGCATCGTTTCACGGTGCATTGTAACAAACCCTGCCGCTCACTCACTCCACGGGGACGAGCGGAGCTCTAGCTCAGCAAAGATAAAAAGTCCCGCGCCGGGTGGCCGTGGGAGACCCCATGGTGTGCGGCCTTCGTGCTCACACGTGATAGGAGGAAAATCCCCCTAGTGACTCCTGCCCTAGCGACGCCACTCCAGAGCAGGGTCTCAGTGCTGCGACAGAGGAAAACGGCTACGCGAGTTCGGGCGTGGCAGACATTCCCAGCACACAATCGACGCTCTGGATTTTTAAAAACTGGACGTATACTTTAGGTGGCCGTGCGTGGTACCTTACCTACCTGGGGCTGTTCATGTATGATAAAAATATTGACATACTCTCTGCAGAATTAGCAAAGGGGGTCAGAGTTGAGACGGGAGAAGCAGGATGGGCCATGTTCACCGGGAGGCTTAGGAAGCCCTTTGGCTTTTACTACACCCGCGACGGAGAGCTCGTGGAGTGTTTTAAGGAAGGGGGCAGCTGGGTCAAGTGCAAACAGCGGGCTCCGGCTGGCGGGCGGAGCGTGGGTGTAGTGAGCGGACAGAGCATGCGAGCCGGAGGTCAAGCCAGGGCGCTCGCTGCCCATGAGGATTTGCAGGCCACTCAGCCCCGGCCGTGACCCTGGCCGGCAGGCCGCCTGTCTTACTGGGCTTCGGTGAAAGCTACAGCCCTCTGCCTTTTGGAGACTCTGTTTGGTCCTTGTGGTAACGGACCCGCTGATAGCCTGAAATCTGTTTCTTTTTTCGTCCTGGCTATTCTGAAAGTCCCATTGGGAAAAATCAGAGAAATGTGAACGTCTATCTAGTTTGGCAGCTCCGCCCTCGTCCTGCTCCGTAAATTGGACTCTTGTGCTGATGCCGTCCGCAGTTCATTGGCAGCGGAGGCTGCCAGTCCTCTGCTATGAGGAAGGCCGCCTTGGGGACATCCTCTTCCAAAAACAGTAAATGCCACTGGCTCCCAACCGCCTTGCACTTTGCTCACTTATGTGACTGGCACATGGCACTTGGCTCGAGTGTCTTCCTGTCCACAGGGACAGGACACCGTGACCATTTTTAGGAGACTATTTGGTTTAAATTAGCCTAAAAAAAGAAAGGGCCTAAAAATCAAATGCTTTCTGACGACCCGTGGTGAATATTATGAAGCTCAAAGCCACACTTGGCTGCTCCCACCGATATTTTTTTCTCTTCTCGTTGCCTTTGGAAAGGAAACAGAGAATGCCACTTAACAGGCCAGAGCCTTTGTCGGAAACTGGGCTGGTACCTTGAAATTCTCGGCTCGATGCTCGAATCTCTTATTCTGGTGTCGGCAGCCTCTTTGCGTGTGGCTAAAGGCCTGAGTCTAGATAACGCCTTTATAGTTTTGTGGTAACTTCTTAGGGTGTGGCAGGGGGGAAAAAAAACCCTCTTCTTTTAAATTCCAGAAATACAGTTTCTGGTGAGTTTGCACTGCAAAAAAAAAGTGTAAATGTCTTACAGCCGCACTCCTAGGATCTGCATTCTTCTCTCCCCACTCAATTTTTATATTAAATAATTCTCAAATTAAACTCTTTTTTTGGAAATAATTATAGATGCACATGCGGCACTACAAAAAAAAAGATGGGGTGGGGCCCCTTGTGGCCTCCCCCCAGTGTCCCTCAGTGGGACCAGCCTGCATAGCAATAAACATCGTCACAACCTGGCGCTGACCTCTGTCCCGTCCACCCTCCTTGCCTGCACTCCACCAGCTTGCCACGCGCTCCTCTGTGTTCAAACCATTTTTGTGGCACACTATATTTTAAGTCGAATGGGGCAAATTATCTACAGGGTTCTATTTTGATTCCCTCAATAAATAAACTCCCCTTCACCGACATGTTTTAAAAAGTACATTTGAGCCCTGGCTGGCGTAGCTCAGTGGATTGAGCGCGGGCTGTGAACCAAAGTGTTGCAGGTTCGATTCCCAGTCAGGGCACATGCCTGGGTTGCAGGCCATGGCCCCCAGCAACCGCACATTGATGTCTCTCTCTCCCTCTCTCTCTCCCGCCCTTCCCTCTCTAAAAATAAATAAATAAAATCTTTTTTAAAAAAAAGGACTTTTGACTGCGCATCCGTGGCAATCCCTTCAGGCAAACAGGGATGTGGGAAAAAGCACCGGTAATTTTTTTCCCCCCTGCGGAGCAAGGCCATAGGGTTCAGCACAGACTGGCTTTGAGGCAGTTTCTTTGCAGAAACTCAAGGTTGTGTCGCTTGGTTTTTCAGACGGCAAACAGCTTAATGTGGATTCTCTACAATTTATCCCGCCACCCCCACGTGCAACAGAAGCTTCTTCAGGAGATCCAGAGTGTGCTGCCTGCGAGGCAGAGGCCGCGGGCAGGGGACTTGAGGAAGATGCCGTATTTAAAGGCCTGTCTGAAAGAATCCATGAGGTAGGAACACGCGTCCGGGGCCCGTATGAATGCACGAGAAAGCTGTCCTCTTAAACACACAGCGAGGGGTCCCTCCCCCAGAGACAGCCGCCGTGCCTGGTTCTTAACATTTAGCAAACTGGGAAAAAAAAAAAAGAAAGAAAGAAAAACAAAAACAAAAAGAACCTCAGGACCATATTCCATTTCTGTCAAAACTCATTTCCTAAATCATTTGGTTGAATTCTCTCACACCTTGGGAAGTGAGTGTCATCCCCTTTGAATCAGCAATAACACTAATAATGAATGCTGTGAGCACCAATGAGGATTCTGGGCGGGACTGAAGAACCTGACGGGAAGCCCAGCCAGGGGACCCTGTTATCATGTGATAAGACCTAGAGACATCTTTATCTTTGAGCCTCCGGTATCCGATGTTCTTTGAAAATTCTTTTTACACCCTTTCTGGAAAACAGAACTCGTACTATTTAGGATTAAAAGGAAATACCTTTAACTTCCTGGAAGACAGATAAGAGGAAAGTAGAACAAATGTCAAGATTCAGGGTGAAGCCCTGGTCGCTGTGGCTCAGTGGGTTGGGCGTTGGCCCGCAAACTGAAAGGTTGCCGGTTCGGTTCCCAGTCAGGTCACATACCTAGGTTTCACGTTCAGCCCCCAGTTGGGGAGCCGTATGTGAGAGGCAACTGGTCGGTGTTTCTCTCCCCCTCTTTCTCCTTCCCTCCTTCTCTCTCTAAAAATAAAAAAATTAAATGTAAAAATAAGATTCATGGCAAAGTGTGAAAAACATACACGTTTCGAGTCTAGAACTAAACGGGAGAGCCAGTATGAGCAACTACTAAGCAGGCTCGTACTGGCAGGTCTTGTCACCCCAATAAAATAAGGAGTAAAAACGAGAGATGTAAATATGGGGAAGACAGAGACGCAACTTCCTTATGACGAACTGTGGTGAGGTTTCCCTTCTGAGTTATGAACTTACGCAACAATTGTGCACTTTACCGGAATCCGAGTTCCCATCGACACTTGAGCTAGAACTCGGTCCGTGCCTGCCTTTACGTCTTCGGCTTTGATTTTTCAGGCTTACCCCGAGTGTGCCGTTTACAACCAGGACCCTTGACACGGCAACGGTTCTGGGGGAATATGCTTTACCCAAAGGAGTAAGTCGAATTTGTACCTTTTGGACCTTACAGAGCTTTGAAAGACACATGTTCCAAATAGGCACCCGATTCCCCCTAAACACGTTTAGAGGGAAAACATTCATTTCGCAAATACGTAGATGCTAACATGTAGCGGACAGGTTGCATCATGCCGTGCTAGGGATGAGGGCCACAGAGACAGACCTGGATTCAGGTGTAAACTCGAGTGAGTTATGCAACTTCGGTGAGCCTCGCCTTTCTGTAAAATGGGGGTAATGACAACATCTACCACTTGGGGTTCTTGTGGGAATGTGATGCAAAAATTTAAAGTTCTTTACCTGTTTTGTACCTGGCACATTTCAAGCCGTCCACAGCTTTGGGCAGTCGTCATTATGATACATTGGTGGGTGACTTTTACATTGGCAGGGTGACCGCTTTTGTCAGGTTCGCTCTCCGACATCCTCTGCTTCCTTTAAACGCCACGCGTCTCTGTGTGTTTTCAGACAGTGTTGATGCTAAACACCCAGGTGCTGGGGTCCAATGAGGAAAATTTTGAGGATTCGAGTCAGTTTCGACCCGAACGATGGCTTCAAGAGAAAAAGAAGATCCACCCTTTCGCGCACCTTCCGTTCGGCGTCGGGAAGAGGATGTGCATTGGGCGCCGGTTAGCTGAGCTCCAGCTGCACTTGGCTCTGTGCTGGGTAAGACGCCGGCTGGCCTTCCGCGCTTGCTTCCGCGCTTCCGTCCGGTGCTTTTCCACGAGGCAGCGGAAGGGGGCTAAGTGTGCCTTTTTGTGTGCACGCGTGTTCCAGATTGTCCGCAAATACGACATCGTGGCCACGGACCAGGAGCCGGTGGAGGTGCTGCACTTGGGCATCCTGGTGCCCAGCCGGGAGCTCCCCATTGCTTTCCGCCAGCGATGAGCGGCCTCGGGTGAGCACCCGGGATGCTGGGCGGGACAAAGGCTGGGCCAGCCCAGAAGTCAGCCAGAGCTGGGTTCGGGTCCAGGCTCGCCACTGATTCTCCCGGGGACCTTGGGTAGTGACTCCACTGTTCTGCCTCCTTTTTTCTTTTTTTTTCTACTTGCAAAATGGGGAACAAAGTAGCATCTATCCAGAAAGTTGATATGAACATTGAATACTCAGCCCAGAGCCTGGCATCAACCACAAGTGCTCTCAGTACATGCCAGCTGCTGCTCCAGTTTCTGCTTGTAAATACCACGGGTGGACACACTTTCTGTAAAGGGCCGGTTGGCGAGTATTTTAGGGTTCTCAGGCTATTCCGTCTCTCTCACAGCCATTCAACTCTGCCTTGCAGCTTGAAGCAGCCTCAGGCAACTCGTCAATAAGTAGGTGTGACTGTCATACGGGTTTTCTGTTGCTGCTGTGACACATCACTAGAACTTGTGTCAGGTGACCCAAGCATGTCCGGTTACAGTGCTGTAGGTCAGAGATCCGACACGGCGCTCTCACCAGGTGTCGGCGGGGCTGCGTTTCTTTCTGGAAGCTCGCGGGGACACTCTCCCCGCTTGCTAATTTGGGTTGGCGGCAGAATTTAGTTGCCTCTGGTTGTAGGACTGACGCCCCGCATTCCCTTGCTGTGAGCTGAGAGCTGTTCCCTGGAGTCGCCTGCGTTTCTGGGTTCACGCCTCTTGGTCCATCTCCGTCCCCATCACCACCCAGGGCTGAGCCCCCGCTGCAGGTTTCACGCCTCTCCTCCTCCTCCTCAGGTCCTGTCTCTCCGACAGGCTGTTGTTCAGGGTAATCTGCCCACCTCAAGGTCCATAACCTTGACACACCTGCACAGTTCCCTTTGCCACGTAAAGTGACGTAGTCACAGGTTCCGGGAATCAGGGCGTGGACGTTCTCTGAGGACCATTATTCCGGCTTCCACGGCTGCATTTCAATAAAGATTTATTTATAAAAACAGGTGGAAGGCCCTATCTGGACCCAGGGCGTTGCTTTACGGACCCCTGGCCTGTAAGTGTGTGTACCCACCAGCCTGTATGAAATAAACTGAAACACTTTCCCTGCCCTCACTACTGAAGTGGTAAAAATTTAGCCCGAGAAGTCTCCGATGTCATCTTCTGTGGAGATACGACATTTCCAACATAGGGCTTTATAGAGAGTTCCATGTCAGTGTTCAAAGTCAATGTCAATCATTCTGTGTTTTTCAACAGAATCTCCTAACAGTTGCCTAGAATCAGTTGCCACTTGCTAACTGCGAGTCGAGGGGCATGTGCTGAGAAGTGGTTACTTGAGGCAACAGGCAGTTGCAGACGAACTTTCTGAATGAGGTTTAAGCAAATCCCTCCCCCAGGGCCTGGCCCCACGAGGCAATTTGTTAAGCGCTGTGCATCCCAACCAGCACTGAAACAAGGGGAATGACGGGGGACCACTAGCTGAATTTTAAAACTCCCCGCCTTTGGCAAGGCCGTGGGAACATCCATGGTGGCAAGCCCTACCTTTGGCAAGAGCCCGGGGCAGGTTTTGGCTTTAGTATTTGTTTGTTTGTTTGTTTGTTTAGCTGATAATTCTTCATTTAATCACACTTCTTGGATATATAATTGGAATATACTTTCTTTCCCAGATTTTTTTTCTTTTACCAATGCCTGGAGCAGAGAGCTGAGCTCTCCTGCCGGCAAGGTGCTTGTGGCTTCTGCGAGGCCCCGAAGCAAATTCCCGTCACCGGGGCACGGAGCAACCCACCAAGGGCGTTCGGGCACCGCATTTCTCTCCTCCCTTTCGCACCAGCGTTCCAGGAGCTGCACCATCAATGGGCGACGGCTCTTAAGACGGTGACTGACTCAGGGAAGCAGATGAAGGGTTGTCTTCCAGGTCAAGTGCTGGCTTCCACTTGGCCAGGGTCAGCACCATCCGGACTGCCACGGACTTGCCCGTGACCGTGTCCCCTCCTGCATTTTCCAGGACGTGGTCGGGCCCTTGGCGGTCAGGCACAAGTCACTACACGTTTCTGTCTCTGCCCGGCCAAATTCTCCACTGGAATCTCGACTGCTGCGGTGTTGGTTTACAGAATCACAATAAAAAACCTACGATAGCCACATTGTCGGGGGCTCGGGGTAATATGGACAATCCAGGAACCGTAACTGCTTCGTGTCATATTTGGAAAAATGTTTTGCTTAATCACGTAAGCCAAGCTACACGCTCCTGGGCCGCTGCACTTTGGAACAGGAGCGTCGCTGGGGAATCAGAGAATGCCTCTATTAGAAGCGGGTTAATGAAGTCAAAACCTCCTACGTAAGAAGACCTTCACAATTTACTGTGGCGTCATTTGGTTAAAGGGTCCTGCCATTCTTTCCTTAGTTTGTGTATTTCCTCTACGGCATGAAGGAGTTGGATCAGTAGTTTGAAACTGTATGTGTATGCGTGTATTCTAATAGTGCTTTGTTTAAGTCACATTTAAAAACACATGGTATTTCCTTTAGGATCTGTGGTTTGAGGCAACGTGATAATGTTCAGCCAGAGCTTAGAAGTGTTTGGTGACTTCCCATGGCTTAGTCCCCCACCACCAGAACGGGACAGCAGCAGAGTGGGTGCACATTACAGATTAGTTACACCGGGGGAGGCAGAGGTAAATTTAGAGTTGCTCAAATCAATAATTAATAAAATAATCCAAGGATAGATGCTGTGTTTCACGTACAACTGTAAACCTACTTTTGCCCACCCTGGTGTAATCAGTCTTACTTGATTTGAACTTTTGGGGCAAGTATGATTTTATAAATGGGAAATGCATAGAGATGTATGCAATACTTATAAAACTTTTTTACAAAATTGTGTTTACATATGGTTTCTTTACAAATATTTTTACTACTACTTTTTAAAAAAGCATATTGTGCATTTCTGTAATTTGATAAAGATTTCCCTGTTCAGGTTATATTTTTAGAATATTTCAGGAGTATACATTTATATCTTTGTATTTGAATATATATGTACAGTTTGCTAAAATGGGTATATGCTTCCTCCTTGCCCTGAAATTATTTTTAGAATTATAAATTCATGTGTTTTCAGATTTCATCTGTGTATCTTTTTTGAATTCTCTGAAAGTAAGAATAAAGATTTTAAAACTTGATAGATGTTTCCTCTTCATTGCACTTGTTACAACAAAATTTTAAAATTTAAATTTTGTCTTACTAGAAAAATTCTCATGTGGCCACTTCCCAAGCTCCATATCACAAAACCTACCTTTATGAAAATCTGGACTTCAGCAGCAGTTATACAGAAACCTGATCATTTGAATAGAAAATAAGTTTCTTTCTTTCTCCTCCCCCTTGCTTAAATACAGGCTCAGGCATAAATAATGCCCCATTTTTATTGCAAAAATCTGTATCACAAAATCGTAAGCATGTGATTCGGTGACATAACAACATCACACTCAAGCACACCATATGACAGTGTAAGTGAAACGTTTGGATCAACACTGTAACTTATTCCACACACATTATCACCCTACCAACCGCGCTGGAGCAGGCGTCACTTCTGCCGGCCCCTGCACCTGGACCACAGCAGCCACCCCCAGCCGATCTCCATCTCGCCTCCCTCCAGTCTGATCCTCATACACTTGCCCCGTGGGTCTGTTCAAGACCTGATCCTGCCTGGTTCCTGCTTCTGTGCTTCCCGCGGCTCCTCAGAAAGCCAATGCCTTCAGCTAGACCTCGGTGCCCTGTAAAGGACGACCCCCTGACCCACAGGCCCCCGCGTGCATCACCCTCCCCCTGGACGCCCCAGACCCCACCACACCGGCTCCTACCAACCAGCTCCTCTATTTCTTAAACGCCACCCGCCCATCCTTTGCCACCCACCACCTTCCCTTGTCTCTTGTCCTCCTCCCCTTGGCACCATGCAGACCCCCGACCCAGCTTCCTCCAGGAAGTCTTCCCTGATGACCAAGATCCCTGGAGGCAGACCCCAGGACCCGGGTTCCTCAGGGAAGTGACTCCCAGGGACACCCACGAGGGAATGAGGGCAGCAGGAGAGGGCCAGGGAAGGAGCCGGAGGAGGGTGCCATTGGCGGGAAGTTCCCACCTCGGCCTGGCCCCGGGAGGGTCATGGTGCAGCACGCAGGGTGCATGGTGAGCTCCTCTGGGGCTGCCGCTGGGGCTGTGACGTCCCAGGTGCTCCGGCCCTTGGCCCGTCCGTGCAAAATAGCCACAGCAGCCCACAGGGGTCTGTGAGGGGGGGCGACAGCTGCCATCCAATAGAAACTCAGCACCAGAAGCTGGGGGGCACACCCCAGTGGACAAAGGGTGGGAGGGCATCTCGGGGATGCAACAACAGTGTCGGCTGCCCCTCGCCCACCTGAGCATTCGGCCCAGAGTGGACGCTGGCAGGTAAGGCTGTAACCGTGGTAATAATAACAACTAGTATCTAATAACTAACCCCACACAGTGGGGGTTATAGTTCCCCCCACTTCGCGCCTGAGGAAACAGAGAGGGCCATGGCCCCAGGGTCTGCACCCCGCCCCCCCAGCAGGTCCTTTCCAACTCCCCACAGTGGCACATTGACACGCTTTTGTGACTGATACTCGCCACCTACATGTACACCACACACACACACACACTCACACACACACACAAGTGTAGGTTTGATGAGACAGGAGCATGTTTGCCACCGTATGCATGACACCTGCCTTCAAGCTCATAACAGGCTCTCAGTAAACATTTTTCTTCATCGAATTGCCCTTGTTGGTAAGGTTCGCCTCAGCCCCTCGCCCTGGCTGGTTACCTCACCCTGCCTACCTCCCTTCAAGAGTTTAATTCCTCCTCTGCCCGGCCCAGCGCCGGGGAGAGCGGGACATACCTCCTTCTAGGGCCGATGATAACGTGGAGACGTCCTCCGAGGACTGAAGGACGTATGTGAAATACGGTTTACAGAACATTATTATATAGGCTATGGTAACTTGATGAGGTCTACTATAGACACACATGACCTATTAGTAACTGTAGAATATAGTAATACGATGCATAATGAACTGTACCTGATACAGGTAACTTTTCCCCCGAGTGTTTCCGTGAGTCAGACCCACCTTCGAATACCCCTCGCCCACTTGCCCCGCAGAGCAACTGTGCTGGTTCAATACATGCATCAACTTGGCCAAACTCCGGGGCCAGTTGTGTGACCCTTTCCTGCCCCTTAACCCATGTATTCCTCACACACCCCTCCTGCCAGGGACCTTCCCTGGGTTTGCAAGAGGCTGGGAGAAGGCAAATATCTCGCTCAGGAAACACAGTGAGCAGGAGCCTTAGCCACAAACCCCGACCTCCCTGACTCCAAGCCCCTGTGGCCAGTCGGTTAAGCATCTGTCAGCAGGTGCTGAGCCTGAGCCTGTTGAACAGCCCTGGTTGAAAGCCAAGGCCCCGTTTATGATTCAATGTAATGTGTTGAGCTTTCTGTAATCTCCTGGATTGGACATTGATCCAAATGATTTCATTACTTACTGCTATCCATGACTGTTGGGCCCTGCAAACCTCCCTTTATCGGCAAAAACAATATTTGCAGAACTCTTAATCATCAGGAAGCTTCGCACCTGGGCCTCCTGCGCAGCCCCAACTCCCAAGCTTTACAGGTAATGACAGGATTTGCACAGTGGACACTTTCCCCTTCCACGTCCATTTTTGCTGTAGTGAACATGAGTGTGAGACACTTTCTACGCCTGCTGGGCAGCAAGGCGAGAAGGGGGGAGAGAGGTCTGGGGGTTGAAACCGAGCCAAGAGTTGACGGCACATACTTGAACGATAAATGCATTGCAACTGCTTTTCATTTCATCTTTTTAACCCTCCCCTGAGGACATTTTTTTCATTGCTCTTAGAAAGGGAGTCAGGGAGAAAGGGAAAGAGGGAGAAGCACCGGTGTGAGAGAGAAACACTGATTGGTTGCCTTCTCGCAGGCGTCCCCACTGGGGATCGATCCCACAACTTGGGTATGTGCCCTGACTGGGAATTAAACCTGCGACCTTTCACTCTACACCGGGATGACACTCCAACCCCTGACCCACGCCAGACAGGGCTCATGTGTTTGTTTGTTTTTTTTTAATAAGGCGATTTCCTCCTTCAGTTCATTTATTGTAGATTCTTCTTCATTTATAATTTGCCCTGGTAGCTTTGTACCAGGTGACATCTACGGGAGGCCAGTGAGTGTCCTCTGGCGTATGGCAACACCGGTTGGTTGGTGACAGCTGCCTGGCACTCGGTATTGAGAAGGGTTCTAAGGTTGAGCCCAGATACAGCAGGGAGAGACCGTAACTTTCTGGCAGTGTCCGCCAACAGCCTGTTATAGATTTGCCCACCCTACACACGCTATCTTCTGAACACCAGACTTACAGATATCTGATGAGAATAGCCTATATTTATCAAGTACTGCGTGCTTGGCACTGTACTAAATACATTATGTTGAATTTTCCAGTGTTTTTATTAAGGATGCATAAGTACCCCTCACAACATACATGCAAGATAAATTTTGCAAACAAATAATTTGCGTTATGGATAACGTGTGTGTTTACAATGATGTTCTGGCAATACCACTTCATTTTAAATTTCCAGCGCTGTTATGACGCTTGCCTTTGAAATCAGTGGGTCTACATTTAAAGGGGAGACGACGGTGAGTGAGTGAGTGACATTTCAGCAGGTGGACCAGTTGGGCTCCATGAACGTGGCACAGGAACAGCTGGAAACTGGGAAGGGCTGGAAGGTAATAGCCCTGGATGAAGGCGTGAGCTGACCTTCATTTCACAGTTGAAGAAACCGAGGCTTGGAGATTAATAGGAGGCTTAAGCTCATGGAACCAGTGTGTGGTACAGCCAGGGTTTGAACCCAGGA